CCCTCCTCTGGTATTGAATTACTGTTCTGATAATTAAGAAAGTTGCCATACCATTTTAAATGATGAAAAATGCTGGCACTAATGCAAATTAAGACCAGAGTTAGAAAAATTTTGAGGGGTGGAGACTTAGTGTTAACCTAAAATTCTTGAATACTTTAGAAATTGAGAAACGTCCTAGCACTACTAAAGTTTGTTTGCTTTCATATGTTTATGTTACAACTTTCATAAGTGAACTTATGAGCAAATTTTCTTTCTCTGGGAAGAAGGTTTGTTCATGTTAATATCATTTAGGGTGTAGAAATCAATTAAAGTGCCTTCAAATTTTGCAAACATTTCTCTTTTTACATTAAAGCAAAATAAAAGTAAGACATTTATAGATTGAAAAAAATTTACCTAATGAGAATTTTGCAGTTTTGAACATAAGGGCTAAGACAGGGTTGCAAGGATATTTAATACAGTGCTGATTAATGTGACATATGCATTATAAAAACATGAATTAAAACTACTGGATGTAATTCCTTTTATCTTTAAATAATTTTTAAATTTTGGAGTAAGTTTAGGTTTACATAGTATACTACAGCATTACTGTAAACCCTTTACCCAATTTCCCGTTGTTTCTTGTGTGACTATTGCTCATTTGTCAAAACTAAGAAGTGAACATTGTTCTGCACCATTAACTGAACTCCCAGCTGTATCTAATTTCACCACTCCTCCACTAATGCTCCTTTTCTGTTCTGAAATTCACCTCAGTCACTTGGTTTAATGGTTGTCTGCAATGTAAAGTTTCTGTTTCCCACTTTTCATCTCTGGTGGAAGCCAGTCCGTAAGGGGAGGAAAGATGGAATTCCATTTCCTGGAGTGGGGAGTATTTAGCGTTATTAATTTATTTTGTTATAAATGAATAATGACAATGAAAATGTAGTTTTTTGTTGTTTTTAATACATTCACTTCCTTCTAGTAGAACTAGAAGACTGGAAGACAATCCTTGGTTTCTGCTAAACTTTCTTATACTGATCAGTGATGCTCTTGAAATTTACCTCACTAGTAATTAATTTGGATGCGGAATAAGGAATCAGGAATACTCAATTGTAGAGACTTTAAACATTCTTTAACTTTTGTTTTTTGTATTGCCAGCATCTAGCATGCAACCTGGTAAATTGAGGTCGTTAAATACAGTTTTATTGTGTACGAAGAGTTAAAGGAGCACTGAAGCATGAGAGCTGTTTCTCAGGAAGGTGTTTCTCCAGTTTTTACTCTGGAGAACAAGGGGAAGGAAACTGACAGTTTTCTGGTGCTTACCATGCCAGGCACAACATTTATTTTTTGTTGATAACAACCCTGCGAGATACATATTAAGTATCTGTTTTCAGTAATAAGGAGACTAACACTTAGGGGCAATAAATGAGTGAATCAAATCTAGGAAGGTTAAAATCAAAATAGAATAGAACTCAAACCCAGCTCTCTGATTTCTCAGTTCATTTTCTTTTTATCTACTTGTTGCCTCCCTGGGTGAGGTCTCTCATGTTTCCTCTTCTTCTGTGTTCTCCTCCCCTCTTCTCTCCAGTCTCCCCATCTCACACTCTCTTCCTTCCCTCGCCCCTCCCTCCCTCCCCTTTTGTACCCCCCTGCTTTTATTTCCCTCTCTCTCTTAAAAGAAAAAAAAATTGTTGTTTTTGTTTCTGTTTTTTGAGACAGGGTCTTGCTATGTAGTTAAGGCTGGCCTTGGATTCATGGCAGTCCTCTTGCCTCAGCCTCCAGAGTGGTAGGATTACAAGCATGTACCCCCATGTCCAACAGTTTTTCTACTTCTTAAAGTAAAATATTGTTTAAAATCTAAAAGAAAGAAAATGGCTTTTAAACATTACAGGTGAAAAAATGCGAATTGATATAGTCTTTTGGGTAAAATTCCACATATACATACATGTAAGGATTGTTACTGTAACTTTATTGGGCAAAACAAAAGTAAAAACCAAACACCGGCCGGGGATTTAGCTCAGCAGTATAAGCGCCTTCCTATAGGCCTCTACACTGTATGATTAAGAGAGAAATTATAAAGGTGATTACATATCTTTATATATTATAAAAACATGAATTTTTAACATTATGTCAGCGAGAGGCAGGAACGGAAAGCTGTGTGATCATTATGTTCCATTTATGTAAAACATGGCTGTGCATGTGTATGCAGGAAAGTGCAGTTACCAGCTAGAAATCTAGTCTATACTACTCCCTTCTCTCTTATCTTCTCACTTGGTCTCAGAGTTCGTGATTTTCAAACATTTCTCAAATGTTTTCCTACTTTTCATCTCTTTGTTACTTTAATCATTTTTGCTTTGACTCCTGAAATAACCCTTTGATGAGTATTCCTGTCTTGAGTTTGACCATCTCAAACTCACTTTCTATTTGTTTGCCTGCATGGGTCTACCAGAGATATCTGACATGTAAACTCTCTATTTAAAAACTCTTCACTGATGCCTTCTCGTCCATACAACAAAACCCAAACCCCCTTATATGTGCAGAATCAGGGCTTGGCCGCTTATGTCATTCCCTATCTGCCATATGACTGGCAACTGTAGAGATGGTGGAGATTCTCTCAAAACTTTGCTTATCTTTTTTGTTGCTATTGTTTTTTATAGTACTAGGGATGAACCAGGGCCTTCCCACTGAGCTACATCCCAGCCATCTTTTTCTATTTTTATTTTGAAACAGGATCTCACTAAGTTGCTCAATTGCCCAGGCAGGGCTTGAATTTGAGACCCTCCTGCCTCAGTCTCCAGGAATACAGAGATTACAAGCCCACACCATGCTCTGTTGGCCAACCTTTGTTTAGCCATTAATTTTATTTGGGCTTTTCTTTCTTCAGTCCTTTCTTGTTTTAAAAACATCAGTTCTATAATTTGTACCGTAAAAATCTCACCCAGCCCCACTCTCAAATTCCCACTAAGCTAAGTTAGAGTACTCCTGCATGACTCAGTCATGAATTTACCAGGTATACTGATTATGTTCCTTCTCAGTTTTTCCCCCTTCAACAAAGGCGGAAACGGATGTTTTCAGCATTTAATTCGGGTAGTTATGATTAATACCTGGTGCTGTTTATTTGTTCCACTATTAAATACTGCCCCTTTTATCTCCTGCCCATGTGGATCTTTGAATCATGAAAAAAAGTGATTTCACATTCAGATTACAGTGAGTCCTTTTTACATTTAACAAATAGAAAACATACTTCTTCGAGGTCATGCACTTACTATAAATAACATACCAAACAAAAATATAATATATATATATATATAATTATAATTTATTAAGGTATAATCATAGTATTTATAGTCTGCCAGTTAATATGGTATATTAATCATTAAATGATATGATGGGTATACAGTTATTTAGGTTCTTCAGAGAAGTATAGCAGTAACTACTGACTTCTGTGAGTGTAGAAACAGCTGATGTGTGGTTAATGATGATAACCTACCATGATGCCACTGAGAACCAGTAAGGACCAAAGAAGCATTAGTTTTGGTATTAGACCTAATTATATCTTTTTTTAAAAAAGTAACCTCATATTTACTTGTAAATTATATATATATATATATATATATTTTTTTTTTTTTTTTTTTTTTTTTTTTTTTTTGTCTTTTTCCTTTTTATCAGTACCGGGGATCAAACTCACGACTGCCTGTTTTCAAGCAAGCTCTTATGCCGCTGAGCTAAACCCCCAGCCCCTGTAAATTATATATTAATGAACAGACACAGACAAGGATACCAGTTATAGAATGGAGTACAGGGCATATGAGAGGCTAATTTCAAAGATTTTTAGAAATAAGCAGTTGAGCATGGTGGTGCAGGCTTTAATCTTAGTGCTCAGGAGGCTGAAGCAGGAGGATTGCTGTGAGTTCATAGCCAACCTGGGCTACATTTTGAGTTCAAGCATAACCTGAACTACACAGTGAGTGAAACCTTGCCTCAAAAATAAATGAATAAATAAAATAAAAATAGAAGTAGGCATTCTTTTGATATAATTTTTAAATTAAAAGCACCAGAGTTGCTAATAAGCATTGTAATAAACAGAAAAGTCTTCTACCTAATTGAATGATTAGCACGCAAATTATACCCTTTGAGTCCAGGATATTACAGCTCATGTTACTGAAAAGACTCTGCCCACATGTTAAGTTTCTCTACTGAACAAGCACTTCATAACACTGAACAGGATAATTTGTGATTAGGTTTACTACTGTAAGATGAGTATTTTTGTTCTTTTAATGTATTTCAATAAATTTAGTAGGAATAATTTTAGCTTTTTAATGACCTGTTTCCTTGTTGAATTTTTTTCTAATCACATGATGAATTATGCAAATATGTGCTTTACTTTTCTTACTACAGTTACTCATAAAAAGGAATTTTATAAAAATTATAGGCTGTAGAAAAGATCATTATTAGCTATGAGTATAAACTGGTTGTTTTCAGCAGTGATTTTTAGTTCAAGGTGAGATGAGTGTTTCTTTTTTGAAAGTTTTTTTATAAAGTCTATAAATGCAGGTCAATTTTAGCTTTCATTTTAACCTGAGATCCATGCTGGGCAATTTTTATGCAAACAAGATGTTTTCATGTAGTTTCCAAATGGTTTGTTTCTGTGAATATCATTGCATAATCAAGTTAATATAAATTATCATCCATTAAAATTGTCTATGCTGAATAACCACACAGTGACTAAATTTTATTTCAAAAGCCCATAGGTTATAGAAAAGTGCACGCTTTCTCCCCCTCTCTGTACCCTTCCTCCTGTTTTCTGTCACTGTGCCTTTGTCCTAGCTCCTAGTTTTCAAGACTGTTCAAAAAGCGGCCTACAGGAAATAATGTTGATGAGCACAGTAAACCATAAAGGCTAAGGAAAACTGTGAAATAATAAAAGAACTTTGACCTTCTGCTTAGCTCCATTCTCACTCTCTGATGAAACTGTTTTCTTACATTAAACTGGTATTCAGATCATTTTTTCTTTTTTTTCTTAGTGACCTAGAACCTGACTGGCTAGATAGTGTACAGAAAAATGGAGAGCTGTTTTATTTGGAATTGAGTGAGGATGAAGAAGAAAGCCGCCTCCCTGAAATACCACCAACAGTGAACCATGTCAGATTCAGTGAAAATGAGATTATCATTGAAGATGATGATTACAAAGAGAGAAAAAAGTATGAACCCAAACTCAAGCGGTTTACCAAAATTTTAAAAAATAAAAGACTTTTACCCAAGCGCAATAAAAAAAATAGCAACGATAATGGGCCAGTATCCATTTTAAAACATCAGTCCAATCAGAAAACAGGGGTCATTGTTCAACAAAGATACAAAGACGTAACTGTTTACGTAAATCCAAAAAAACTAACTGTCACCAAAGCCAAAGAGCAGCTCAAACTACTGGAAGTATTGGTTGGAATTATCCATCAGACCAAGTGGAGCTGGAGAAGAACGGGGAAGCAGGGCGACGGAGAGAGGCTTGTGGTCCACGGCCTGCTGCCCGGAGGCTCTGCTATGAAGAGTGGTCAGATACTAATTGGTAAGTGATTTAGTCCTTGTTGGCGGAGACACAGGGTTAATGATGCCTTGTGAGAGGATGATAGAAAACAACTACATACGGTCTCCATAAATTAAGAAATGATTAATGATATTTGGTACAGTAGTGAAGTTGTAACTCCTGTACCGCAGGGCTTAGGATTCTTAAAATAAGCAGTTTAGCTTACTGAATTCACTTGAGCCTTCAGGCTGTGGGACAGCTTAACTAATTTTCAAGTTTTGAATTATATGAATTTATTTCATCTTGGTTTTATTTGCTGTCAGGAAAAAAAGTTGATTGTACAGTGATAATTTAGTCTTGAATGACTGTATCCTATAAGATGTTACAAAAATATATAATTTATGAATGAAAATACTTTTAAATTATATGCTTGCACTTGAATACACTAAGTTCCTGGACTGGTTTTAAACCATTTCACTTAGCATACAGTGAGTGGTGTTACGTTTCTTTTTAAGAATGCTTGTCATAAAATAAGCCTACCAATTTTGAGGAAAAACTTAACTCTGTAAGTTACTCTGAATGTATGTTAAGATGAGCATTTTGTGTTGTTGATAAATTTGGATGTAATGTTAGATATAATATATGATGCTCACAAACATGATGTTTGAATTCAGTTAAGTCCTCAAACTTCTGGTAGGAACCTTATTTATTAAAGATAAATTAAATTTAAGCATGTATTAGTGAAACATAAAAGTTATAATGGTCCTTAATGCTGACAGTTTTTTAAGTTGCCTCAGTTTAAGAGTTAGATAAATAGGTTCATAAGTCAGTTTGCAAGTTTATCTCACACTTCTGTTCTTGGCCAAAGATACCTAAAAGTCTTTTGCTACAACAAAGAGAGCCAGGGAAGAAGGGAGTGGGGAAAGAGGAAGAAGGGGTTGAAAGGGACTTTTATAGAAATATTCAGAAATGTCTGTTTTTTTTTTTTTTTTTTTTGCGGTACTGGGGCTTGAACTCATGACCTCGCGCTTGCCAGGCAGGTGCTTATGCCACTGAACTAAATCCCCAGCCCAAGAAATGTCTGAATTAAAGTCTGAATTTCACTCACTTGTTCATCAATTCAGCAATTAAAATGTTTGGCGTATCTACTAAGCACCAGGATTACAGAAATTATTCTAATAATGTGAATACTGTGGAGCTCTTTTTATAGAAGATGTAGACAGTCCCACACAGTGTAATAAATGTCACAATAAAAAGGTTCCTAAGGAACCATGTAGAAAAGGAATCTGTACGAAATGTGTATTCCCAAATGGTCACAACAAGACTTCCACATTGTCTTACAATGTGATGTTGATTGTGGCAAACCACTGTACACCAGTTCCAGGTCCCTGCCCAGGTGCCACCCATGGGGAACCAGCTCACTCCAGCCTTTAGTCTTTCTAGTCTGTCACTGAGGGGCATAAGAAGATGAAAGACAAACAGCCACAGAATCAATTTAACATGCGGGCAGCTAGGAGACTCTTGCCTCGAGTGGGCTGAGGAGCCCCGAGTGGCAGGCTCATCCTGCTTTTATTCATTCAGACTGGAGTACAAGCAGTTAAAGTAACATAAGCTTCATCTGCCTCCCTTACCCATTAGTGCATGTCCAGATAAACAACCTGATCTCAGCTGTCTAACTTTTTCCTGGAACTGACGATGTCATCATCCCTTCATGTTTCCAAAAGAGTACAACCTGCTGCCTTTCCCCTTTGTGCTCACGGAGGAGGCCAGTTAGGCCTCAATTCTCATCTGGTCTCCCGAAGTTGATCCTCTTTCTATAGGGAGTCGTGTCTAGGTCCTTGAACCAGGTGGGCCTGTGTCTACAGGTTAAGTGATATTGTGTGATTTAAATGGAAACAGTTACTTCTGGTTATTTTGGGGATACTTGTTCTTGGAACAGGCACCATTCTGTGAGGAAGGTCAGGCTGCATAGTGAGGCCATAATTAGCAATTGATGGCCTAGTTAAGGCTCCAGCCACCTGAGAGACCTTCAAGAGGGATCTAGCCCCAATCACCATCTAGTTATAACTACATGAAGAACTTTTGCTTGAGCCCAGAGCCAGGAAATATACATATACAAATATAAAACGTAATTGTTTAAGCCACTGAATTGTTGAGACAGTTTATTATCTAGCAGTGGATAACTGGAACAGAAGCATACTTGCATTGTTAGGTCTTCATGTTTCACTCTTGTAAAGTAATGGGACTAAACTAAACTACTATAAGGTTTTTTTCTTTTAGTTCTGTAGAAGGCCAGGATTGCTACTTATGAGATCTTGCCTGGTTGTTTCCTGACCAATAATTTTGGAAATTTCAGCTAATGCATCCTCTTTTTTTTCTTAGCTGAGGTTTTTGCTCTGAATACCTATTTGAATTGAGTTACAGACAAATCTCTACAGTTCTTTTTACCATTTTTTCTTGAACTTAGTGTGAAGGAAAGAGAATAGACCATGGGGAGAATAGTTTTTACAATTATAGAGCTTCCTATTGCTTATCTTTTATTTTCTTCGACCTTTGTTAGCATACCTTCTCATCAAACATGAACAAAAGGCAAAAGAGGCCTATAGTTTTCTCTAAATTTTATAATATGGCATCAGCTATAAGTGTCAAATAATGATCCAAATGTCATTCACTCAATGAATATATTGAATGCTTACTTTATACCAAGCACCATATCAACATTTTGATGTCCTTTTTCCCCTATATTTATGTGTAATTTTGTTCCAAAAATAATTTCTTTAATCAACACATAATAAATGTACACATCCACAGAGTATAGTGTGAAGTTTCAATACATATACATGTACTGTGCAGTGAGCAGTGATCACATTAAGATAATTAGCATATCCATCACCTGTATACATTATTTCTTTGTATTGAAAACATTCAGAATCCTCTCATCTAGCTGCACTATGAGATTATAAATACATTTTAAGATACATACTCATTTTGCACATAGTAGGAATAGAGCATAAATGAACTTTTGTATATACATTTGTCATATCCCTTGTGCCTTATAAAGTAGCCCTTTATTGAGTAAATGCTGAGATAGGGTTTCTCAATTAACTTTACATAGACGAATTTAAGCATTGTGACAAACTGATCTCAAATATTTAAATTTTATTCAATAGTTTAGTTTTTTGAGTCAGGGTCTTACTGTGTAGTCCAGGTTGATCTTGAACTATGTAGCCCAGGCTGGCCTTGAACTCACAGCAGTCCTCCTGCCTCAGCCTCCCAAATTCTAGGATTACTGGTATGCACCACCACACTTGGCACTAAATTTTATTTTTTATTTATTTATTTTTTTGTCTTTTTCCTTTTTATCGGTACCAGGGATCGAACTCACGACTGCCTGCTTGCAAGGCAGGCGCTTATTTGGCACTAAATTTTATTTGACTCTTAAATGTACCTTTTGATAAAATTTCTTTCTTTTACCTATCAACCCCAGTCCATTTCTTATTTAACACTGTTTGGCTTTTGAAGTGGGACACAGCATGTGACTCCCTCATACCTATTAAGGAAAGAGGTTTCTTGGAGTACAGGTCCTTACTTCGGTGATGTGATATCCAGGAAGCTTGTTTGAGTCACTTCATGGACATGTTTAGGAAACTTAGAGGAAAACAATACCTGAGAGAATATAGTTTATGTCTAGGTGAACCCTTGAGCCTCATGTAGTTATGGAGGTGGCTGAATCTAGCATTGGTGATTGGTTCATTGTCTAGCACTGGGATTGATGGTGTAAGTGCTACACCCGCCCAGGGGTGTAGCAAGCATTCAGTGTAAGGACAGGAAGGGGGTGTGCTTGGCTCCCCTTTTGGCCTGTTCTTCTTGCTGCTTGCAGCCGCCATGAATGGCTGTCCCTCAGCCATATAGCTGTCGCTCAGCCATGCTACCCTGCCTTGGAGCTAGCTGAGCATGGATTGAAACTTCCAAATACGGTAAGCTAAATAAGCCTTTCCTTACCCAATTTTGGATCAGCTATTTTGTCTCAGCAATAAGAGAAAAGTAACCAAGACAGAATTTGGTACCATAGGAGTGGGTTCATTGCTGTGACTATACCTAACCATGTGGTTCAAAAGCCTTTGGGAAGGGCTTGTGGGAAGAGTTTGGAAAAGTTCAGAGATGTCGCCTGAATGCATAGAGCTGAAACAGCTTATGCTGTTCTGTAGGGGAGATTCTGGTCAGGGCTCAGAACAACAGAAGGCTGACAGAAAGCCTGCCAAAAAAGACCAGGCTTAGGAGGTTTTTGCTGGGAAGGACTGCATTGGTTGTTGGACTCCACGTGATGTGTGTTATGGCTTGGCAGAAAGTTAGCCTGCATTTTGCTCCTGTCCAGAGACTTTGCCTAAGACTGCTCTGTTCACTTTTGCTGTTTGCGGTGGCCATGAATGGCTGCCCAGCCATGCCACCCTGCCTTGGAACCAGCTGAGTACAGACTGAAACCTCCAAAGTTGTAAGAAATAAACCTTCCCTTTCCTAATTTTAGACATCAGGTATTTTGTCTCAACAACAAAAGTAACTAAGACAAGTGGTTATAATACTTCTTTTATAGAAAAAATACCATATTCTAAACATTTTAAGTGGACTGTATTTTTTTGAAATTAATTTTCCTGTATTTTTGTGATGATACATGACTCCTACTTTTGTTAGACAAGATACTTTCAGGTAATATTCCCCACAATCCTCAATAACCAAAGTGTATTCAATACCATTTAGATGAAGTCATTTGGGACATTATCCTATAAAGTTTAATTTAACAAATTTTAAATAGCTTCACTGTTTAGTTGCCCTGAGGATGATATAACCTGTAGATAACTAAATCCAATGTAAGAATGGTCCAGAAGTTTTGTTTTACATCAGTATTCTGATACTGCGCTCATAATTTTCTTTTCTTTTTAAAATCACAACAGCTGTAAACAATTTGGCATAGTACTCTTGTTTAATTTCTTAAGAGAAATTAGAAGCATGTTGTTTTTAGTTTTCCACATGAAGCTGAAGTTGGAGGTTTATTTTAGTCTACAAGTTTTTACTTTTAAGAAAACAATCAGGTTGCTCAAAGTACTGCAGTCATCAAGCATCATAATTACTCAGCAGCCATGTGGAGCTCTCAAGTAGGAAGAACTCTTTTGAGCATCTGTAGCTGTTGTAAGCATTTGTGGGATAGCTTAAGAAACTTCCTGCTAACTCTGCTTACCCTGTCAAGGAGGCAAAGGAAGCAGCGGAAGAGCAGCATGAAAGTATCAGTATTTCCATCTGTTTCCCACTTTAAAGAGAGGCAGATGAAGTCTAGTAATGGTTTGCCTTAAAGGAAAGGAATTTTGAATGTAGGGAACATCAGTCTTTTATAAAGAATAATGAAAAATAGAATATTGAACAAGACTGTATAGTAAACAAATTGACACAGATAGAACCGCTGTCATCCAAGGCTGTATCTTGAAAAAACAGACCATAACAAAGACTCAATATTATAGTTTGTAAGATGAACAGAAACTTGAGAGTGCAATGGGGAATTATCTGTGACACTGTTTTACCAACATACGTGTTTATTAATTAACCCTGTTCCCCAAAGAGCATTAAACTTCACGCAGGTAGAAATTTTGTCTATTTTCTATCTTTAGTGCTTAGTCAGTGCCTATCTCATAGTAGATGCTTGATAAATATTAGTTGGGTGAATGGATGCAGGTGAATTATTTGATTCCCTAACGATATAATTTAGAATGATGAAAAAATAACAGGTATCTGTTAACACAGCTTGCTGATGTTTGATACTGCTTTTAATTGGTTCTGAAAGTAAATTTTAACAGGGATCTTTATTACTAAGTCTGATAAACATTTAAAGAAGAGGCATAGAAACAGAAACTTTAACTGAAACATGCTATGTATTTCAGTATGTTTGGAGCCTTTGAAGCCAAGAACTGTGTGTTGACAAAAATCAGTAATAGCAGTAAATACCACAGCATACTGAATTATGCTGTACAATATGGTTTTAATTAAAATTTCAGCTAAAAATTTTACTCTTGATCTAAGTGGTTAGATTCAGTTTGGTTAAGTGCAATATTTGATTTATTCTAAAAATTTTCCATTTGTCCTTTAGGTTTACACAACTCTTCCATTATATTAAGAGTATTCATCTTTACATTATGTTTAGTCATAGTGCAGTGTTGGGTAGAATTGGGATATGCTCTATATCCTTGGACAAGTTCTTGAATAAGTGTACACATTCACCATTGTAGTTTGAGGAAGTACAAATTAATACGTTTAAATGTTTCAGTTCTAAACCCCTTTGATTTTTGAATAGCCACACCACTATCTTTTATCATTATTTTGTTTTTAGGTGATGTGCTTGTTGCTGTCAATGATGTTGATGTGACCTCTGAAAACATTGAAAGAGTTTTGTCTTGCATTCCTGGACCTATGCAGGTATAGATGTGCTTTTTTCTATATTCTATAATAAGTTACATGAAATAAATGTATCTTGTACTGCTTTCTTTTATGATTCTATTAGTTGTCATGTATAATGGGTGCATTACATTTATATTGGGATATTTAAACATTTTTAATTCTTCCTAATGTTTTTAGCTTTAGGCATTGTTCTTTGTAGCAAAATGTCTACAAATAAAACTCATTCTAAGTAGAGCAGCAAAAACAATAATAAAAGTATATAATGACCAACTTGGGATTGTAATTACTATATGTGCTGGTGGCAATCTAGTTCCTAGAAAAATTATTTTAAGTAGTCATGGAATTTTTTTATTTTCAAAGTTACTGTACTATGATTACACTTATATTGATTATACATTTTTGTTGTTTTTTAAGTGTGGTTTTGTTTCTTGTGACAGTTAAGTTTAATTGTTAATTTGACTGGCTTGGGTACTGCCTGGGAGATTAGTAAAATACATTCTGGGTGTGTCTGGATGGATCTGGAGGTGCAACCTTGAGGTCTGTATCTGGTCCTTGACCCCTTTTGCCTGCTTTATTTCCTGGCTACCATGAACTAAGAATCTTTGGTCCACCATGATCTTCTGCTCTGATGTTCCTGCCTTGGAGCCAGCCAACTGTGGACTAAATCTTGTGAAACTGTGAACAAAAATAAAGCCTTCCTTCTTTAAATTGTGGAAGGAATTTGGTCCCATCACTGAAAAACTAAACATAAATTATGTTTTTCCTTCTTTTTTCTGTAATACAGGTACATCTCCTGAACTTAATGAATTACTTTATATTCCTTGTAGGTATAATGAATTTATTTTATAAGTCACTCTAATACTTTAAATATTGACATTTTATAAGACAGATAAAATTTTAGGCTATTAAATGTATTTTGAAAGTGCTATACTTTTCATTTAGGATTCCTGTTCATATTAATATCAGGAATTATCTTTCACTTTATTGGGAAGGTAGGGAAGACGACATCCTTTAAATGAGTTAAAGGATCTATCAGGCAGTAAGAAGATGAAGTAATTTTGGGATTGTTCAGGATATAGAACAAAGTCCCTACCAGACAGAATCTTACCTATATCTGATACAGATTCTAAAATAAGACTGGTGGTAAAATTCCCTGTTTCATAAGATTTCCCTTATGCTCACTTCTCTGAAACATATAGCACTCATTTGGGCAGAGAGAGGCTGACTGATCGGACTTTATAAATTTAGCTATCTTTAGAAATGTAAAATGGGGACTGGGGATTTAGCTCAGTGGCATAAGCACCTGCCTTGCAAGCGGGCGGTTGTGAGTTTGATCCCCGGTACTCATTAAAAAAAAAAAAGTTAGAAGTGTAAAATGGAAGTGCTGGAATAATAACAGCCAGTGACTGGCAATCGCTAGGAACAGACAGGGGATATATGTAGAGACAAGGCTGTATTTGAAATACCGGTAATCACGTGGACATCAGCTATCCATAGTGCTAGAGTAGGGTGTGCTGCTGTCCTTTTTAATCAGTAGTTATAAAAGGATCCTAGGTGCATTAAAGGGTACCACAACGGGTGTAGGTAGCAACTACTTACTAATCAGTAATGAATCACAGCATTTTATCAGTTGAGCCAGCTTCCCTCAGATAAAGTGGCTGACTTTCAGCCCGGAGTAAGGGCTCCCTCTTTCTTGCTGATATTAGTTATAGGTAGATTTCCAGTATTACAGGAGCTCAACCACATGTATGTTTACCACAGGGTTACATTATACTTAATGAATAGCTGCAAATTAAATCATGCATACTTGACAGGAAAAACAGGAAATAATATGAGTTTTTTTGGATCAATTCCACCTACAATCAACATGTCCTCATTGAGAGTACAATAGGGTTATATATCTGTTGTTTATCTAGTTCATTTTTTATGGCATGAGCATCTTGCTACATTGTGTATACTTTTGGCTATAAAAATACATATTTTTATACAACATAGCTTTCAATTGCCAGCCCTTATATCTGATGCCAAATATGAAAGCAAAACAATCAAAGCTATGCTTTGAAAATGGGAAAAAAAGAAAAACTGGCCTAGATTTACCATATGGAGAGATTATGTTGTCCTCCAACATAGCATCACTTTTTAAATCTACTTTCAAAGGAAATCTTTTATTGGCTTATGAAAGTAGTACAAGTTCATTGTAGAAATTTTGAAAAATACAAAAAAGTAAGGAACAAAGTCTCTTAGACCCCCTACTATCTAAAGCTATCTATTATTAATATTTTGGAGTATTGCAATCTAGTATTGAGTGAAAACATGTATGCATTTGTTTTACTAGCATTGCTGTTATAGCTGCATCTCTCAAAAGCATGCACCTGTATTTAGGACAATGTATCTTTAATAACTTCCTAAGAGAATTTGAATTACTTAACTAGAAACCATAAATAATTAGTAGACCATATTTTTCTTGTTAGTGTTGAAATGGGAAGTAAACTGTAAGCTTTTCCCTGCCAGCCATATCTCTGAAGTGTAAACTAGGAGTTCATAGAAGCAAGAGTAGGATGGGGGAGGGGGAGGGGGAGGGTTCATGGGTGGCAGGCAGTATTTGGGGTTCTTTATATTATTTTCTTTCAGCTTTCTGTTGCTGTGTAAAGTACTTGAGAAAATCATTTTATAAGGAAGAAAGTTTCATTTTGACTCATGGTTTTCAGAGCTTTTAGTCCATGGTCAGTTGGCTCTGTTGTTTTGAGTCCTTTTGAGAGGTAGAACATTATGGCAGGGATTCTGTGGTGATGCAAAATTGCTTGCTTCAAGGTGTCCCTGAAGCAAACAGCAACACAGAAAGGCACTGGGACCTTGATATTCCCTTTAAGAGCATACCTTCAGTGACCTCCAGCTAGGTCCTGTCTCCTAAAGTTTCCATCGCCTTCAGTAGTGTCATGTGCTGGTGACAAAGCCTTTAGCATATAGGCTTTTGGGGGACATTTTACCCTTGGCCCCTCAAGGTTCATATCCTTCACCTAGCACAAAATGTATTTAGTCTATCTCCAAGAGTTCCCAACGCAGGGGCTGGGGATTTAGCTCAGCGGCATAAGCTCCTGCTTTGCAAGCAGGCAGTTGTGAGTTCGATCCCTGGTACCGATAAAAAGGAAAAAGACAAAAAAAAAAAAAAAAAAGAGTTCCCAACACCTTAACAGTTTCAGTTTGCTTATAAATCAGAGTCCACTGTCTCCTCTAAGACTTAAGGCAACTCAAGACTCAATTATGAACCCCTGTATAAAAAAAAATCAAGTTATAGCTTGTGAAAAATACAGCTGATTTTGCTCACTGAAAAATCAACATACTGTAATTTTTAAAGGTGAAACTGACATTTGAAAATGCATATGCCATGAAAAAAGAAAAAACTCAACCAAGAAAAAAAAAAGCACAGTTGAACACAAATGATTTAGTCAAACTTCTATGGGAAGAAGAGGCTGAAGACAACCAGCAGAATATCCTTAACACTCCTCACATTATCATGTATCTCACACTACAGCTCGACTCAGAAACATCCAAGGAAGAGGTGAGTCTTCTCAAAAGTGTAAAGGCAAAAGTACTTTTTATAGCCCTCCTAGTATACAGTAAACATTTTTTATTTAAGGAAGAAGCAAAAATGCATTAGCTCTGCTTAAAATTGTCTGTATATTTTATATTCTATTATAGATATGAAAATTTCATGTTACAAATGTTCTTAAAAGTAAATGAAATATTGAGTTATTTTAACCCTCCCAAAAAAAGGAACTAGGAAAAGATATTGTTGGCAGAATCTTTTAATTTAGTAGCTAAGATCTGTTATTTTTGTTAACTTCATATTGAAGTATTCTATATAATAAACAATTTTAAGTATACAATCTGATGAGTTTTGATATAATACAGAGTTGTATAAGCAGCATCACAGTCATATTTAAGCATTTTCATCACCACTTAGAAATTTCCTTGTGGCCTTTGCAATCAGTCTTTTCCTGCTACCTTTTAATGATTGGGGGGGGGGTAGGGGTACAAACTGTCTCTCATATGTTACAAGTAGTTTTCACATGTTCTTTTTCATTCATTTCTCAATGTTTATTGAACACCTATTTGTGATAAACATAATACTGTATAGTAGGTATTTATACTTACAATTTAATAACCCTAGCAAACTTAAATAGCATGCACAAGTTCCCATAGCTAGTAATGACAGAATTTCTATGTAAACAGAGGTGTTTTGCTTCCCAGTTTGTGTGCTCTTTCTATATTAGGTTGCTTTTCATCATAAGTGTTTGAAGGCTGTTTTTTGCTCAGATTTTCTGTGCATTCGTTTGTTTATTTTTGTCTGCTTAATCTTAATTCATAATTAAGAGGGGTATGAGAAGCTCTCACTGTAGGGAGTTTGTCCATTTTCTCCCCTCTGGTTCCAAGCATTTTTCTCTTACCTATTTTGAGGAAATTTTATTAGATGTGTTAATATTGAGAATTATTAAAATTTGAACCTTTTAAGTTGTGATATGACCCTCTCTGCTCCAACAATATTTTGGGTTTTAAAATTTTTTTATTTCAGTTTTATTTTTTTGAGTAACAGAATATTTATACATATTTATGAGCTATAAAGTGATGTTTTGATTCATGTATACTTTGAGTAATAATTGAGGATAATTTAGCATACCCGTCACTTTGAACTTTTATCATTTCTTTATGATAAGTACATTCAAAATCCTCTCTTCCAACCATTTTGATATATAGTGTATTATTATTAGCTGTGCCACCAGACCTTTCTTATTGTAACATTTCCCCTCCTTTCTTCTCTCTCCTATTCTTTCCAGTCTCTGGTAAATACCATTTTTACCCCAGACTTCTATAATATCAGCATTTTTAGATTCACACATATGAGTGAGATCATGTGGTCCTTCTGTGTGTAACTTATTATATTGACTCTGTAGATTGCTTTAGGTAGTGTGTAAATTTTAACAGCATTAATTTATCTAGTTTATGAACACTGAATATTTTTCCATTTATTGGTATCTTCTTGCATCAGTATTTTGTACTTTTCATTGTAAAAGTCTTTCACCTCCTTATTAAATTCATTGCTGAGCATTTTATTTTTCTGTAGCTATTGTAAATGGGATTGTTTTGTTTCTTGCTCAGTTTGCAGTGCATAATGATTATATTCATTGTGGAGAGTTGTTATGTATATAATACACATCTTAATTCTTTTTTTATCCCCTTACCTTCCCTCCAACTCCTTTCCCTCCATCTTTCGTTCCACTTCCCATTTGCAAAAGATCTGCCTCCCTATTCCCTATTATGCATTTTTGTTTTTATTTTGCTTTTCTCATATAAGAGAAACCATATAATATTTAAGCTTGTGTGTCTTATTCACTTAACATTATGGTCTCCAGTTGCATTCATTTTCCTACAAATAACTCAAATTTAATCTTTATTTATGACAAAGTAGTACCCCACTGTGTGTAAATACAGATTTTTTTATCCACTTGATGTGCATATAACCTGTTTCAAAAATTTAACTATAATGAGTTATTCTGCTATAAATGTGAGTATGCATGTATCACTGCCATACAATGTCTTTACCTCTGTCAGGAAGACATTTGGAAAAGAACTGAGTGAAATGCAATTTCTGTTGTTCATTTTCTGAAGAATTTCCAGGATGGTTGTACTAGTTTACATTTCCACTAACACTGCAGAAAAATTCCTTTTTCTCCTCAGCCTTGGCAGCACTTGTTATTATTTGATTCCTTAATTATACTCTTTCTGGAGTGAGGTGGAATCTCAGTGTTGTGTTAATTTGCGTTTCTTTGACCAGAGATGTTGAACGTTTTTTCTTGTGTTTATTGGTCATTTGTACTTCCTCTGAAACATGTCTATTCATTTCAGTTGCCCACTTTTATTCAGCCTTTTATTTTGGGGTTCTAATTTTTTGAGTTATTTGTATATTCTAGATTTTCCTATGTCTGAGCAATAGCTGTTGAAAAATGTCTTCCAATTTCATAGATAGTATCTTCACTCTATTGATTATTCCCTTTGCTGAGCAGAAGCTTTTTAATTTGATATGATCCCATTTGTTGAGTCTTGATGTTATTTCTGATGCAGTTGGCATTCTGTCAGAAAGCTCTTGCCTATGCCCTTGTTGATAGTTTTACCAATTTTATTCTATAACACATTGTTTCTATTTAACATTTAGATCTTTGATTCATTTTGATCTCAGTTTACTTCTCAGTTGCTTTTTTTCTCAGTTGCATCTATTGAAATGATCATATGGTTTTGGTTCTCTTAACATAGTGTCTTGTATTTATTGATTTGCATATTTTTGAACCATATTGCATACCTGGCACGAATCCTATCTGATCATGATAAGTGATCTTTTAATGCACTACTTAATTTGTTTTGTAACTATCTTGCTGAGAATTTTTGAATCTGTTTCATCAAGGGGCTATTGATCTGTAATTTGTTTTCCTTTTATTTCAATTAATTTTATTGCCAGGCATGGTGGCACATGCCTGCAATCCCAGCATTCCAGAGACTGAGGCAGGAGGATCCCTGAAAGTTCAAGGCCAGCCTGAACTGCATACAGAGACTCTGTCTCAAATGAATAAAATAAAACTGATTTTATTGGTACATTTTAGATACATATAGTGATCACATTCTATCTTTAATGCTGGTCTCATAGCATGAATTTGGAAGGATTCTCTTAAGTTTTTGTGAATTTTTTTGTTTATTTTTAATAGTTTGAAGAAAGCAAAAGATAGTATGGAGTACCTTAGTTTACAAACTTGAAGAAAGCAAAAGATACTACAGTGGTTCCTTGGTTTACTAACTTGATTCTTTCCAGAACTCTGGTTCTGGACAAGAACTGAAATCAAATTTAGTAGTTAGGTTCAATGTTGACCTTACAGAGAAATTTGATTTGGTTCTTGTCCAGTTCGGTGTGTAACCAAAATTGTGGAAAGAACTAAGTTTGTAAACCAAGGTACCACTTAGTTTTTCATTAAATGTTTAGGAGAATTCAGTAGTAACATTTCCTGGGCTCTTTTTTGATAGGAAACCTTATTGCTGATTTAATCTCATTGCTCATTATAAGGTTTTTGACTTCATAATTTAAATTTGATAGTTTGCTTATATCCAGAAATTGTTCTTTGTCTTGTCTTTTTAAATACATTAACATTTTTTAGCATTTAATGTTATTAGAGTTTTATCTTATTAATATTTAAGTGGTTCATCTACTTTTTATATTTCCATTCTATCTATATGTTTGGTATGTCTCTTACAACAGCTTCCAACCTGGAAATATCCAACTTGTTATCTCATTTATAGAGATTACTAAAATATTTAAATTTGTCTCTGCTATCTTCAAACTTTTCTATTTATAATATTTTTCTTACCCAATATTGGTTACTTGTATCATTATTTTTTCTGTATACTTTTTTTTTAGTTGTTCTAGGGTTTAAGTTCAAGCCTTGCACATGTCATGCAAGCATTTTACCACTAAGTTATATTCAATGTCCTATTTTTGTTTTTTAGTGGTTATTTTTTAGAGCTTATCATTATATTTGCCTTAACAGATTTTAAAGTTAAATATTATATTATACTTTCTCAAAATATTTTGAGGCCCTTTTTTGTAACTTAATTCCAGTTACCTCTCTTCTTCTGTATACTGCTGTTATCAGTATTTTAGTGCTCTTAAAAATTCCATATATTGAACGTAATTCTGCTACTGCTACTATACTTTGTTGTTAGCACTATACTTTATTCATTGCAAAGTTTATAAAATGTATTATCTATTTATATATTTTATAAAATTTTAAAATTATAAAATATTTTTACAATGCATATTTTACACATTTCATACTGATAAATCTTATTTAAGTGTACAATTTTTTTTTTTACTAATTACTCTTACATTTCAGACTATTCCTATTGGATCATTTTTTTTTTTTAAAACTATTTTACACCTCACTTTTTGTGAAAGTCTCTTGGGAGACAAATTTTTGCTGTTACTTATATGATGATGTCTTTTTTTAGACTTATTTTTAATAAGTAACTTCATAATTCTAAATGCCACTAATCAGGGTAGATTATATTAATCATTATAGGTGAATCACTATCCCAAACAACCTTAACATCTTAATAACTTAATATGATGAAAGTTTATTTCTGGTTTTGATGTAAAGGTTGCTGGTCCTGTGGCTCAGTAATCCTACCCCATTAAAATTTCATAAACACATGAAAATTAAATAACACTCTCCTGAGCAACAGATGAAACTAAACAAGAAACTAAACAATATCTCCAGTCCAAAAAAATGCAGATAAAACATACTGGAACCTGTGGGACACAATGAAAGCAGTCCTAAGAAAAATTTATAGCAGTGAATTCTCATATCAGGAAAACAGAACAAGCACAAATAAACAACCTAATGTTGCACCTAAAACTTCTAAAAAAGAGCAAGTCAAGCCTAAAGCCCATAAAAGGGAGGAAATTATTAAGAATAGAGCAGAAATTAAAGCAATTGACTGAGAAAACAATACAAAGAA